TTAGAGATGGAGGTCTCAGACTAAAGCAGCAGATGTTGGGGATCTTACGAGCTTTCTCCCGGCTCAGCAGGACGTGGGTCTTCAGGTACTCCATGATCTGCTCCCCGTCTTCCGGGTCGAGCTTCATCAGAGCTGCAGCCAAACTGGAGGACAAACAGCAGGTCAGACGGAGATTCACCAGAAACAGCTCTGAAGTCCAAAACACTTCTACGACCAAACTGAAGGCTGAATCTGGCCTCGCGTTGTGTCCGTTTGTGGCCATTTTGTGTCACATTTAATTAGTTTTGCATCATTTTTTTGGTCATTTTTAGTCTCATTTTGTTCATTTTGCGTCTTTTTTACTACTTTTGTGTCTTTTTGTGGTGAACTTGTGTCAGACTTTGTTTATTTTTCATTTCTTTTTGGCAGCTTTGCATCTTTTTTGGTCCGTTTATGTCACATTTTGATCATTTTGCATGTTTATCAGTAGTTCTGGGCCTTTTCGTGGTCATTTTTTGTATCATTTTGCATCTTTTTGTGGCAATATTTTGCATATATTGTCATTTTGTGGGTTTTTAAAATTCATTTTGTGTCTTTTTGTGGTACATTTGTGTCAGACTTTGTTAATTTTGCCTTTTTTGTTAGAAGGTTTGTGTCTTGGGGTCCGTTTATGTCACATTTTGATCATTTTGCTTTATTTTTTACTAGTTTTGTGTCGTTTTGTGGTGAACTTGTGTCGCAGTTTGTTAATTTTTCATTTCTTTTTGGTAGTGTTGCATCTTTTTGGTCCGTCTATGTCACATTTTGATCATTTTGCGTCTCTTGCAGGACTTCAACACGTGTGTTTGGTTGCTGTAACTCCCGACAGCAGCGTCACTGGTAGATAAACACACACACACACACACACACACACACACACACACACACACACTGATAACCCAGAAGCTGCTGACGTCCTGATTTTCCTGCACCAACACGCTCTGTTTTCTTTGCAGCATCATTTTATTTGGCATTTCCTGGTGATGTGACAGAAGATCATTAAAATAAAAGCTGCTGCTGTTGTTTTAGCTGAAACACAAACACATGGCTTCATCAGGACGACGTTTTAACGACGTCACAGGTCCAGATCTGATCAGAGTTTAGCGTCTTCGTCCAGCGTCTGTGGACGATAAACCCGGCGCGTGTTTGAAATACATTCAGGAAAGCTTCTGTCTGACCCGATCACTCCAGTAAACTCCTCATAGACTGGTCTGACATGACTCAGCACTTGCTCAAGATTACACAGATTGGTCCAAAATGACTGAAATGGCTCAAAACGTGATGAATGTTACCCAAAACTTGCACAAAATGACCCAAAACTTTTTCAAATCGGTGCAGAGTTATTCCATATTTGTTCAAAATGGTTCAAAATGTGATTAAATTAACTCAAAATAAACTAAAACTTGACTTAACACTTCAAAAAAACAAAAACTTCAAACAAATGGCTCAGAATTGGACAAAAATGATTCAACACTTGCTCAGATTTACACAAATTGGTCCAAAATGACTCATTTTTGGTCCTGAGAGGCTCAAGGTTTTGTGAAACTTACTCAAAACTGGCACAAAATGACCCAAAACGCATTCAAATCTTTACAACATTATTATTAATATTGTTAAAAATGCTTCAAAATGTGATGAAATTAACTCAGAATGACCTGAAACTTGACTTAACGCTTCAAAATGAACCAAAAACTTCTAACAAATGGCTCAGAAATGGACAAAAATGAATCAACAGTTGCTCAGGATTACACAGATTGGTCCAAAATGACTGAAATGGCTCAAAATGTGCCGAACATTTACTCAAAACTTGTCCTAAATGAGTAAAACCTGTTCAAAATTTACACAGATTGGTCCAAAATGACTCATATCTGGTCCTGAGAGGCTCAAGGTTTTGTGAAACTCATTCAAAACTTCCACAACATGACCCAAAACGTATTCAAGGTGGTACAATCTGGTGCAAAATGACTCTTAAATGACTCAGAACTGGCACAAAATGGCCCAAAACATAACAAAAATAGTACAAATGACTCCAAATGTGTTTAAAATGGTTCAAAATTTGATGAAATTAATTCAAAACTTGAACAAAATGAACTGAGACGTGTCAAAAACAACTAAAGCTTCTCACAAATGTTCTCAGAATTGGACCAAATGGCTCCAAACCGGTTCAGAATCACACAAATAGTCCAAGAACTTGTTCAGATTTGTCACAAATGGCCCAAACTGTGTGACTTTAGACAGTGAACTGACTGGTTCTGGTTCTGGTTTGTCAGACTGCAGCTTTTCTGGGCTCATGAAGCAGAACCAGGTCCGCTCGTCGCCGCCTGATCTCGCCTGAGCAGCAGCTGCAGCCCGGTGGACGTTGGAGGCGACAGCTGCATCGAGCTGCTGCTAAAAATACGACCTCGGGTCCGACGGGCCCAGAACAAAGCTCGTCTCACGTTTGAGGGTTTCTGTCACGTGTCACGAAAGGTAGAGGAAGATCCAAAAAGCTCTGAGTGGTGAACACGACACCAGAACCGCCTGGTGTGCTGCACTTTGTGTTTAATCCTTTGTAACTCCTCTGAGTCCAAAACCAGGCCCAGGTGGTTCAGAACGGCTTCAAATGGGTCAGAATCAGCTCAGAATGGGTCAGAATATCACTCAGAATGACGCTGAGAGTGACTGAAAATGTGAGAACAGAACCTCTGAGTGACGTCCAGAAGAACAGAACCTCGACTCAGAGTTGATCTGAAACGACTCGAAGCTCGGCCGAGACCACACAGACGAGTCCAGCACGAGTCAGAATGTGTCTAAAGTGACTCAGAGTTGGTTTGAAACGCCTCGAAATGGGTCCAACACAACGTCAACGCTTCGAAAAAGACTCAAAGTTCGTCTGAAAGGATCCAAACTTCTCAAAAATAACTCAAAGTTTGGTCCAAACTTACAAACATTTGCACAAAATGACCAAAAAAATGTCGAGGAAGACTCTTAGTTTGGCTCGAAGGAGAGAAAAGACGGTTTGAGACGCTGGTTCTGCTCCAATAAAGTCACCAGAGTGAAACTGGTTCTGTCAGAACTCCAACAGATCCAAGTGTAAACGTGACTGGAACCAGTTCAATGTTGGCTTGTATTTTATGACTGGTTAATAATCACGGATCAGACTCGTACCTGGGATGGAACAAGTCGTCCGAGTTCATGTTGTTCATGTTGTTCTGTTGGTTCTCCTGGTTCCTGTTGATTCCTCTGGCTCTCGTCGTCGTGGTCGCTCCTCTGGTGTTCGTCCCGCTCAGCTGTCGGCTTCCATCTCCAGCTGGAGGTTGAAGGTCAGACTCCTCCTCCTGCTCTGAGCTGAAACACGAGCTGCTCATGAAACCAGCTTTGTTGTTTACTCGTTTGTTTACATCTGGTGTCTGTAAACAAACAACGTGGACGTGAAACAGGTTTTATTTGTTTTATTTTATTCTGATTCTTTTACTTCTGTTCTAATTATTATATTAATTCTAATAAAGTGAACGACATCTTTTACATTTGATTTTGTTTATTTTTAGTTAAGTTTGTGTTTTATTTTGTATTATTGTAATTTTGTTGATTTTTCATTCATTTCTTTTATCAATTTATTAAATTTTATTATCTTATATTTAGTTTGTTTATTTTGCTTTTGTTAATTTAATTCATTTTAATAAAGTGATTAAAAATTGTCTTATTTTTTAAACATTTTTATTAAGTTTATTTTTTATTTTATTTTTATTTTATGCTTATTTTAATTTTGTTATATTTATTTCATTTTTATTAAACTTGTTTATTTTATTCTATTTTTATGCTATGGTTTGTTTTATTTAGTTTATTTCTTTTTTGTTCTTTTAGTTTTCTTTAAGCTATTTTATATTTTTTCATTTAGTTTTTTTCTATTGTATTTTACTTGCATTTGTTTTTTCAAATTTGTATTTCTCTTTTGTTATTTTTTTTGTGGGACTTTATTTAGATTTGATTTGATCTATTTCCCGTTATCTCTGTTTATTATTTGCGGTCGATGTGCTGCTGATGCTCATTCTGTTAATTATCAGCTGATGAATGATGATAAATATACTTTATTCTCTCATTTGTCCTGCAGATGTTGTGAAAAACAAAACATTTTATTTCCTAAACATGTGTTTTTATTTTAGGGATTGAGGGGAAAAAAATATCAGATTTTTCTTAAATATTAAAATCATCAGAATCGGAGTCTAAAGTCTTCATAAATATTATTTTTGTCAAAACACTGAGACTCTCTGATGCAGAAACATTTGAGGATGTTTGGGTTCGTCAGCAGCTCATCAGCGCCACCTGCTGGAACAACAGAGAACATAATAAATCTGAATCCTTCCTAAACAAGCTGCTAAAACGTGTTAAAAACATTACAAACACACACAAAGTCTGAAATCACAACAACAGCTGTTCAGAAATAGTCACTGACGACATAAACATGTCCAGGATGCTTCAAAACTTGTCAAGAGTGACTCAGTCTTCATCAGAAATCACTCAGATTGTGTCCCTGTGACAAAGAGTCAGTCCAACATGACTGAGAATTCATCCACAAAAACAAAAACGTGTCAATGTGTGTTGAAAAATGACACATCTTTGATCTAACCGACTCCAAATGTGGAAAAAAATAACAGAACTTCATTATTATCGCGTTAGAAATTAGTACAGACAGTGCCTCATTTGCATATTTAAACATTACTTTACAGAAAACTTGTAACACAAAAAATATTTCTCTCATAGCGAGTAAAAAACTGTGAAAGTTTCATGTTTATATCTGTCACTTTCACATTTTTCCTCACCGTCGCCACAGCTGACGGAAACTCCCGAGGGCGGCCGATCTCAGCTGACGGAAACTCCCGAGGGCGGCCGATCTCAGGTGAGTCAGCTCCGGCGGTGAGTCGGCAGGGCGGGGCCCCGGATGTTGACGCCATATTTGGAGTCCAAAGCCGCGTCGGGCGGGAGGCTCGAGTGGTGGGCGGGGCCTGGCTCCCCAAGCAGTGCGGCTCGCGCGCACACAGAGACTGCGGCAGGAGGATTTAACGCAGATTTTAGCGCAGAGAAAGTGAAGATTTCTGCGCAGGAGCGACGACACTCTGCGGGCGAAGCGGTGAGTTTGGTTGTGTCCACGCTCACGGACCGTGACGTGAAGTTTGTCGCGTTGTTTGTACCTGTTTGGGGTTTCAAAAAGAGGCGGAAAGGCGTCCGACAGGTGAGTTTCCTGGTTGCGTCGACCGCCGTCGGCGTTCTGCTTCACCTGTCGGTTAGATTGGGTCCAGAAAGATCTCCCGAACCCGTCAGACCCATTACAGGTGGTCTGTGGACACGTGTGGTGGGTTAAACTCGCGTGTTTGGGGCAAATGTGTCCGTAAAAAAAGTTTAAATTAACATTAAATTAGCATGTTTTAGCTGCTACGTAGCCTGTAAGCTAACGCCAGTTAGCAGGAAGTTTGTGTTGATGCTGCTTCACTGAACCTCAGTCAGAGAAAATGATTCTTCACAGATTTGGAGTCATAATTTTTTATCTAATTATATTTTGAGAACCATTTAGAATCTGTTCAGCTTGACTAAGGCTGTCCACTCTGTTGATATATATATAAATGTTTTAAAAAATGTAAAAACCGCTAAAAATCACTTCAAAGAAAGAAAAAAAACCTGAGATAAAACTATAAATGTCTGTAGAATAATGAAGAACTAGCGTGTGTGCTCCCAGCTCCTCCAGTCTGACCCAGTTCTCTCCTATAGATTTAGGTTTTTAATCAGGATGTGTTTCTATCTGGTGCTGAAACACTATTGAACAGAATAAAACAAATAAAAGTGCAGATTTTATCCACATGTGACGCACATCTGGCCTGTGATGGTCCTCATCACCACCACGTGGAGGAGGTGACATTTAAAGGCCAAACAGTGACGTTTGTTTTTGCTTTTTTTCAGTGAATTTATGAACACATTTAACAAAAATGACTATTTGAATATTGATAATGTTATATAACGACATCATTCTCAGCATTTAATTGATTAAATATCAGTTATATTATTTACAATTATTTACAGTCGCTCTGGTGATTTAAACCTCTTAATAATCTGATTTATTCACGTAAATATCAGCCAGGAAACAAGGACATCTGAATAAACACGTGTTTTCATACTAAACGTGAGTCAAACAACGTGTTTGTCCTGCAGATGTAAAAACAAATCAGACGCTGAAGCAGAGCTGCAGTTAATTAATCAATCAGCAGCTTTTATTGATGATCATTTAAACTCTGCCATCGCAGCTTCTACAGTACCAGCGTTTTCTCGTTTCTTTCCTCCTCTGTGACCAGAAACTTGATCTTTTCAGACCAAATCAGACGTTTCTGGTGTTTTCTCTCGACTCTCTGACAGACGATCGATTATAATCTACAGGACGGGATTTTCAAATTAGTTTCATTTGGTGTTCAAATTCTGAGCTGCTCGATTTTTTTAGTTTATTAATTTAGTTGTTTTTTTTTTTTAAATTAAAAAGATCTCATGTTATTTGCTTCTCGTGTTCAGAGACTTTTATACTTTTATTTGTAATTTTTTAATAAATATTTTTTCTTGTATTTAATGCAACAAACAGTTTATTAGAATATTTCAGTAAATTTTAATGATTAATTGAAGACGTTAACTCTGAATAAAAAAACACAAAGCAAACGTGTAGTAAATATAGTGATGTACTAAATAAACATTTTTATTTAAGTAATTTAACTGATCATCGATCAACGAGCAGATCGTTAATTAATCTTTTTTTTTTAAACTCGTTTGTCTGTTTGCAAATTAAACCAAAGTGTCTCTGATTTAAACTCTGAATGATGTGATTCAGACGTTCACTGAAACAACCAGTCGATCAGGTTATCGGCTGGACATCAACCAGCAGCAGCTCTTGGCAGATTCTGATCCGGTCGGGCCTCGTTGAGTCCGGTCAGGCGGTTCTGGGCTGAGCTTGTGTGGAGTTCTGGAGACGTCCCTAAGTTCTGCTTCCTGGAGTGAAGCTGAAGGCAGCGGTGGTAGTTTGACTCTGAGCTCCGTCCTGCGTCGACCAATCAGCTGTAATTTGGGGAAATTGAATTCTCGGGTCGTAACTCGATTACGCTCGTTTGTGCTCCTCCGTAAACAGGATGTGACACGAGGGCCACTCGCTGCTGCTGCTGCTGTTTGGGCAGAAGGTCAGGTTTTAGCCCTGGAACCGAGACGCTGGTGGAGAACGTTTTAAGAACATTAAAACCAACATTTGTAGGAGTTTACTTAAACGATGACTTGATGAGAAGTTTGTGACCTGAGCTGCAGCTGATGAGGTTTTCTGTTTAACTGATCAGTCGTTTGGTTATAAAACGTCAGAAACATGGGTCAGTTTTCCCCAAAGTCCTGTTTTGTGTCACATTTAAGGAGCCACAGCCACAGAGTGCAGACTGGTTTTATTAAACGATCTAAAGAGCTGCTCGTTAGTGCATCGTGGACAGCCAATCGTGGGTGTTCTGCTCATTATGGTCCGTACTGTTATGGACTCAGGCGTGGTCCACTTTAGGCAGCTTTACCCAAAATGACGGCAGCTGCACACGTATAAATAAAGATAAACATCCACGAGGTGATTCGGACCCACGCTGGGAGCACGTTCAGGTGGTCTGGGTCGAGTCGGGCGACAGGCAGAGCTGCAGGCGGTCGTCGTTTGTGGTTGATCGGTTCAGCAAAAAGTGGATCAGGGGTTCCTCAGATGTCTGGTTTCATCCACAGGTATTCAGTTTACTCATCGGTGAGTGAAGAAGTGAAGGATTTAGATTTTATTCAGTGAAGATGAATCGCTGCAGCTCGGTTTTTGGACAAAATTCTACTTTTTGAGGCGTATTTTTGGATCAGTTGTGTCATTTTCTCGTGTTCAAATCCATGTAGTTGTGACTTTTTAACACCGATTTATTAAACGCTGCTCGTCAGATGAAGGAGTGAGTTCAGCTGGTTCGGGTCTGCTGCTGGCCCAGTTGGTGGCGAGGAGCTTGGACGCGGCGCTGCACATGCATGTCGCAGCACACGTGCACGTCGGTGTTAAAACCGCAGCCGGAGGAGGCATTTAGCAGCAGAGTCCCACTTTAAGTGGATGTGCAGCAGAGTCAACAGCAGCTGTGTGAGAACGGCTTCATTCAGCAGCTCCTCGGCCCGGTTCAGCTCCACTCAGCGCCTCATGACTCCTCATTACCGACACAGTCTGGGCTTTGGTTCAGGAGCTGCTGCTGCTGAGCCGGCTTCAGGGTTTAGAAGAAATAAAACTGTTGAAATGAAACCGAGACGGAACAGAACCAGTTTGATCTTCACGTTCGGTCCCAGATTTAGATTTAAATCGTCACCTTTTCTGCTTCTGACGTCTGAAATACGAAGAGATCAACGTCGTGTTTTAGGTTTAACAGAAATAAAACCGTTCAGAGCTGAAAACACTCTGCAGTGATGATGAGTTCTATTAATGTGGTAAAAACTCAGTAAACGTCTGGCTGAAGCTAAAGCTGACTATATAATAATAATAATGATCAGCTGTTCTGATGACAGATTCATTAATCAGGTCAGTTGTCAGGCAAAGAAAATAATCTGCAGATTTAATCATCAAAAATAAGTTAAACAATAAATATTAAGAATAATGACATAAAAAATAATTAGTCATAAGAAAAATTATTAAGAACAATGTGCTGTAAATCAAATATATTAGAAATAATAAAATAAATAATAAATATTGATTACAAGTGTAATGAAAATAATCTCTAAAATAAAAACATATCAGAAACTGCCGGCATGAAGATAAAAAGGTCTGAAATGATCAAATTAAAAACGAGTATAAATGACGACTTAATGATAATTAATAAAATACTCAAAACACAGGAAGAATTATGAGAATAGTTTTAACAAATCAATAAAATTAAAATCAAGCATCACTGATTAGAACATAAATCGTATAAATAATAATAATAATGTGTAAAATATATATTAAAATGAGCATAGAAAAAATAATCCTGTATGAAATAATTACTTATAATAATGTGTAAAATAATACAAACAGAAATTATATAGTTATAACTATTATTAGAACATTTTAAAACAAGTCAGAATAATAATAATAATAATAATGTGTAAAATAATACATTTATAAGCAAGTTTTGCCAATGCTAATAATAAATGTTTCAATTTCATAAATAATAAATACGCATATAAAAAAATATAATTCTGAATGTAATAATAATAAAAATACTAATAAGGATGTGTATTAAGAGGAGCATTATATATTAATAATTTTAATAAAAATAATAAATAAAAGACACCCAATAAGAGAACAAAGTGCGTTGGTTCATAAATATGTGGCCTTCGTTAAGCTCCGCCCCCTCGTTAGTGCGACCCTGACATCGTCACCTGAACTCTGTCCTAAGGTGACCTCGGGTGTTTGTTGTGAGTCGCTGCGTTGACGCCGTCGGACCTCCACTTGATGCTGCTCAACTCGTTCCAGGTGTGTGTGTGTGTGCTTTACCTGGGGTTACTAAGGGTCACGCTGACTCACCTGTCGGCCTCCAGGTGTGTGTGTGTGCGCGCAGTGTGTTACTCATGTTTACGCTGTGACTTCCTCGTGAGGAAAGTCTGAACCGGATGTCAGTAGGTTTAGGACTCGGGTTGACCTTCTGTCAGTACGACGCCGTTGGAGCAACACCAGTCTGTCGGTCCGTCAGTTGCTGGAAACCCGTCCAGCATGACCAGAACTTGGACCCGTCTCAGGTCGTTTTGGACAATGTGGCTCTAGAGTGTCACAACGACTGACTCAGAATGATGTTAAAATGTGAACGGCGACAAAAACACGTCGAAAAGACTCAAAATCTGTCCAACGTGACAAACGACCTGTTTGTTTGTTTTCCAGGCTCGACCAATCACACGCCTCCTCTGTGACCTCACCGCTGACCTGCTGATATTGATCCTGGATTACTGATCACATCTGAACCGGGCCAAGCAGTCAGCTGACTGGTCCAGACCGGACTTTGAGCGGACCGATGGCGGCGTCAGAACTGATCCAGGACGATGACGACATTCGGGACCACGTGGACGCCAACATGACCGCGGCCGACCCCCCGACACCTCCGCGCACCCTCGCCAACGGCAGCCCGACCCGACACGCCTCCTCGCCGCCCGCCGACGCCGTGGACGGCCGGGGCAAAGGCGAGCGCAGCAAGCTGAGTGGCCTGCTGAAGCAGAACCAGCTGATCCGGTCCCTGAGCAGCGGCCTGCGGCGCCACTGCGACTACGTGAAGATCTCGGTGACGGAGGAGCACGCCGACCGGCTGCCCAAGGAGTGGTGGAAGACGGGCGTGGCCTTCCTCTACGCCGTCTTCAACCTCGTCTTCACCACCGTCATCATCACCGTCGTCCACGAGCGCGTCCCCGACAAGTCGGTGAGCCCGCCGCTGCCCGACAAGTTCTTCGACTACGTGGACCGAGTGCCGTGGGCGTTCACTGTCACCGAGGTCAACGGGCTGATCCTGGTCGGGCTCTGGCTGGTCCAGTGGATCTTCCTCAAACACAGGTGGGACGGGCAGACTGGACTCACTGGGTTTACTGGGTTTACTGGGTCATACGGGGTTTCTGGTTTGTTTATGCGGCTCCATAACTAAACATGTGTACCGTCTGCAGGGCCATCATCGGCCGGCGCTGCTTCTTCCTCATCGGGACGCTCTACATGTACCGCTGCGTCACCATGTACATCACCACGCTGCCCGTTCCCGGGAAGCACATGGTCTGCGCTCCGAAGGTGCGTTTAAGTCTTTACCTCGGCGTTTGTCCCGCTGCTGGCCTCAGAGCTCAGCCTCGCTAACCTGCTGTCGCTCTGTTGCAGCTGTACAACGACTCGACGGGGAAGATCTGGAGGATCCTGAGGCTGATCTCAGGAGGAGGTAACGGACGTCCAGCTAAAACTTACGCTTTTATTCCTGAGTTTATGGTGGAAACACTGCAGGCTGGATGTCAGAGATGGACTTTACACCGATGGATTCAAAGAAGGCCAGACGGAACTTTGTGAACCCTGAAGGTGTAAAGTCAGATTCTGAAGACTCCTGATTGTTCCATGATGACGAACACTTGGCCAAAAAACATAAATCTGTCCAGAATTACTCAAAATTCAACTAATGGGATAAAAAAAAAAAAGTCTCTAAAATGAGTCAACATGTGTTCAAGGTGCCCAAAGTTTTACCTGACAACTAAAGATTCGTGAAAAATGACCAAAATATGTCAGAAATTCCCAGAAACTGTCCAACTTCATGCATTATGTTCTTAAAAAGACTCAAAAATTGTCTAAATTTGTTCAAAGTAACTCAAACTTTTTCTCTCTGAATAGTTTTCATGTTGAACGTCGGGCAGCTTTTACTGTATATGAAGGCTTTTATTGTGAAAACCCACCAGGAAGCTGGAGGCAGATAGAGTGGAGGATTTACTGTGTGTTTGTGGTCCAGGGTTGTCTCTGACCGGCTCCCACCTGATGTGCGGTGACTTCCTGTACAGCGGCCACACCGTCATGCTGACGCTCTCCTACCTGTTCATCAAAGAGTGTAAGAACAAACTCATGATGGTTGTTGTTCCTGCAAGTGTTCTGACACAGCTGGAACCAAACTGGGCTCTGAGAGCTCGATGAAACACCCTGGACAAGCAGGTCTTACTGGGATACCTCCATCAGAGTTGGTGGGTTTGGATCAGTAAGTCATTGATCACGAGTCGTATGGAACAGTGTCTTGCTGTTCTGTGGACGATGGCGTCAGTAACGCCCAGAATGTCTCCACATCTCCTGGTTTCACAGAAACTTGTCCAAGATGACAAGAACTACTTGGCCTTAGTTGCAGGAAAGAGTCTGGTCTGAATGGGTCAGAACATATCCAGTGTTAAAGGAGCTTTATCGAAAGGTGTCTCAGATGGTTCTCCATGTGTCCATCTGTTGAAGCTCTGATGTGTGACCCTGTTTCTGGGACAGACTCTCCCGGCTGGATGTGGTGGTACCGCTGGATCTGCTGGCTGCTCAGCGCCTCCGGAGTCCTCTGCATCCTCATCGGCCACGAGCACTACAGCGTGGACGTGGTGGTCGGGTACTTCGTCACCACCAGGACCTTCTGGTGGTACCACACGATGGCCAACACTCATGTAGGTACACACACCATGTAGGTACACACC